AAAAAAAAAAAAAAACCTCAACAAAGAATAAAAGAACCTCACCTGGAGCTATTTACATGTTTACACATTTACAGCAGGTTTCAGAGGGACAGACCAGCAAACACAAAAAGAGCCACAGGGTGAGTGCTCACCGTTTTCCCTCCCCGTGTCCAACACTGAGCAGGAAGAAGAATTTATGACATCAAAAACGAGGGAACTGGAAGTCCAAAGGAGTCCAGGTGCTGGTAGACAAAGTGAGCCCGTGGCGCCCGCTTGGCCGTGGAACACAAACCCCACGCCGACGAGCCTGATCCTCCGAGGGCGAAGGCAGCAGCGTAAATTCAGCAGCTGACCGACACTGTTCTCTTCGGCGGATAGCGGACCCCCTGACTCTCCAGACAAAGTCAAAGCAGCACTGCGCTCCTGCTCGCACCAGTCGCGGCAAGCGAAAATAAAAAGACTGAAGAACTTCAAAGTGTCTCGCAAGCAAACATGCAAACTGCAGCTGATACATGAGTAAAGACAAAAAAGTATTTAACTACCTATTCAGATATATCTGTATATAAACTCTGCCCTGTGAAAATTATAGAATAGCAGTGTTGCTACCTCACATAACAGCCATTATGTGAATATTTGCACTTGTTAGCCAGGTTTGTGTGTTTTACTTATAGTTTTGAGCTTATATGTGTAAAATTTGTTGTCTTTTTATTTATTTATATATATATTTTTTTGCATTACATCTAAGTCATTGACTCTGCTACATATTCATACTTTATATAGTGTACTACTTCACCTACTACTTATAGTAATAACAACAATAACAATTGCTTTGGTTTTAAAAAATAAAGTTTTTTCTCAGTTTGGCATAGAGAGTTTAGAAACTGGCATCGGGATGGCCCTGGAATGAGATGCGCAGGGTGTGGCACCGGGTGTGTGGTGAAATGCTGAAATGTGTGGATGGATTGGGGGAAAAAAAGGGAGGGACTGCATGTTCAGGTAATTTATGTGGATTTAGATTTTGCTGCTCATTTTGTCAGCTCGGGTTAATTAATGGGTGAAAACAGGAGCGATACTCCTTCCTGAAGGATACGGCAGCCTGGGAGTGTGTGTTTATAAGTGTATGCTTGTTGCGCTTTAAAGACAGTCGTCACGTGTAAACACCACCCGGGCTTGTGCCTGCTGAGTGTCTAGGTGCACGAGGGGCTGGTGGCGCTCTCCAGGGAGGACTGCGAGAGGCGTCTGGTGAGGGGTCCGATGCTGGGGTCTGCCAGGGAGGAGGTAGGGAACAGCTTGTACCAGCCGCTGACTGTGGCGGAGAGGTCCAAGTCCTCCAGAAGGATCTGGGCCATTCCCATGAAGCACTTGTGGTCCATACGCCCGTAATCCCCCCATACTATTACCTGGGGGAGACAAGACAGTGATAGCTTTACCAGCCTGTGTTGCAGAAGCTTGGAGTTGATTTTGGCACCTTAAAAAGGTAAACTGCATTGTCCTCAGGTCTGTATTGTAGAATTATATGGATATTTTTTAAAACTCTTTTGGCTCGGATATCAAACTGTTTCTGCAGGAATAACCAGGTAATGCAAAACTGATGAGAAATTAGTAATATATTCTGTATCTTACAGTACTGAAAGAAGAAAAGGCTTGAGTTTGGTTCAGTCCTTCTCATTACTGCTGCATAATTGTTTCACACAAAATACAGCATTTTAACTTCATGTATTAAAAAGGTTTTAAAAATGACAATTTTTGAAAAAAACAAGCTGGATCCTGAGCATGGTGCTTTTCCAGACGGTTTGCTAATTTTAGCACAAAACTCCTTCACCTCCAAACCACCCTCTAAAACAGTGGCTCCCAACGTTTTTAGACTTGTGTACCCCCTGAGCCATTTTGTCATGCCACTAGTACACTTTCAGTAAAATGTTATGATGATTCTCCAAAACTATAATGTACAACAACTTATTATTAAATGAAAATTATTATTTAACCCCCTAGAA